GGAGCTGCCAGGTATGCCAGCAGGATGTGTTGTTCCCCAACAAGTGACAGTGTCCAGAGCCCAAGGCTGCAGTGCCACCGCTCCTCACACAGCGCGGGGCAGAACCCCGGGAGTCAACACCCCTCTCCCTGCTGAGCCCTACGCAGAGTCTGTGCATTCACTTCACAGGGAGGGGGAGAAATAATGAAAAAAGAAAAAGAAGTGCCTTACCCAAAACTAAAGTTCCACTTCTGGCAGCTATTTTTGCCTCCTCCAGGCAGGGCAGGGCACGGCAGTGGCGCTTGCCCGCGGTGGCTGCGTGCTCCACGCGCTCTGTCCCCTCCGTCCCCCGCTCTGTGCCCACAGAGGACATCTGGGCAGAGGCCAGAGGTGAAGGGCACTGCCACTGCACAGGGTCCCCTCCCAGTATCTGCTGTGTCTGTTTATGTTCTAAATATAGCAGAGCACAAGGGCCATCTCCAGCTCCAGAGAAGTCCTGCTCCAGGGGCTGCAGCTCTGCAGCGCTCACACCTGCCTGACGTCAGCTCTCACACAGCACACTCACACCAGATCTTGGGAGTGATACCAGTGACAGAACACAGCATCACAGACTGGTTTGGGCTGGAAGGGCCCTTAAAGGCCATCTCATTGCAGCCCCCTGCCAAGATGCATTCTTAGTTTGTGAAAAAAAAATTCAGTGGCTAAATATATGTTTACCTGCAAGAGTTAATGTAAGAATAGCTGTTTAACTAATACTAATATTATATACATTTAATAAGAAATCAAGTACTTTAACATTAATGTAAATTTTTCAGTGTACTGGTATTTTAGTAAAGAGTAGAGATATTACATATTGAGTTACTGAAAAATTAAAAATTATTTTTGAATGTCCTAATAAAAAATCTTTTTTTCTCTGTGCTAAACTACTGACTGACCTTACAGGGTCTAGATGGAGCCGGTACAGCATTTCCCTAAATTGTTTTTATAGAACATCTAAAGTTTGGGATATTGCAGACAAGGTAACACAGTCACTAGTGCTGTTCAGCTCAGCACACACCAAAACCGACCCAGAGCTGACACAAACCCAAAACTGAGCAATGGCTTCAGCAATGGGGACTGGGAATTCCCAGAAGGAAGATATTCCCTCTTCTGTTTACCCCAGGTATTCTTGTACATGATAGAGCTCCTTAACCCCCCAGCCCAGCCCAGGGCAGCCGCTGGCAGGCAGGGGTGCCAGGCCCATGCCAGGCCCACGCCAGCCCATCAGGAGCAGCTCCCCTGCCCCGCGCCCCGGCTGCGGCGAGGGATCGCCCGAGCCCCGGGAGCCTCTCCAGCACACAGCAGCTCTGCCACAGGCCAACCTTTCAGCAGGAGCACAAGTAAACAGCTCTGGTCAGCAGAGTATTTTTAAACAGCAGATTCTTTCGAGCTCCCAGCTTGGTCCCTGCACTGACTCCCCGGGGCAGCAGCAGGCTCCTCTCCTCCAGGATCTGCAGTAACGCTGTAAGCTAACTACGGTTATCACCCGCGGACCTTGCAGCGCTTGGCAAAGGTCATCGTTAGCTCCTGCATTAAAAAAGGAAGCAAAGAGCCCTGATGACGGCAGCAGAAGGGCCAGCCGTGCCACCGGGGCTGGGGAAGCCTGGCCAGCCTGGTTCATCCCCTCTCATACAGACACCAGCCCACACTGCTGCCCGGCTCCAGCACCGCCGGCCTCCCCAGCCAGCACTGACGGAGATCTTAAGGCACTTCCAACAACGCCAGAAGTCTGAGCAGGGGATGCTGGCATGCAACAAACCTGGGTGATGCGTCCTACGGCAAAGGAGATTCATGTCCAGTTCACTCTGGTGGCTGGTTTCCACCCTTTTGGCTGGATCCTCACCCTGAGCAGCGCAAGGCCAGCAGGGTCAGGCTGCTGTGGCTGGGAACCAGGGGACACTGCAGGTGCTGCTTCACCAGCAAACCCATCCTGGCGCTCTCAGTCCCTCACGCAGGGACAGGCTGGAGGCTCCAAGGCCAGGCCTGTGTTCTGGCAGCACTGAGGTGACACCGCGGGGCTGGGACTCCCCGCCAGCACTGGCTCCGCTCCTACCTCCCACACTTGTTTAATGCATAAAAACATCTTATTTCGACATTTTAAAATTAAAACCCCTGCATGCATTTTAATTACCGTAACTTTAAAACAAATTTCAACAACACAGAAACAAAATCGTTTCCATTTCTGCAAGTTAAATCACGGCTGGGGGTGATGGGGTGGGTATTTCAGGCCCAAGAGCACTGCAAAGCTTTACCCTCTACCCGATCCGAGACAAGACAAGCTCGGGATGTTGCAGGATTGACACAAACCCACTGTAACCCACTTCCTGCCGGCTGCGCCGGGGCCTGGCTGTGCACGACCTGCAGTAGCTGCTACAGCTACAACTCCCTCCCCAAGCACGTCTCTGCCAGCAGCCAGCTCCACACACTCACTCCACTTCCCAGGAGCTGGGCCCAGCAAGAGAAAATTACACTGGAGAAAAAACTGACAGACAGATCTCTGCTTCCTAACTTCTGATTTTTTCATGACTGTACCGAATTAATTCTGTACTGTTTGTGGGATGAGTATTTTACATAGTTTATTTAATTCATGAAAAACTAAGGGAAGGCAATGGGACCCACACATTTGACGCCCATCACTGGAACTACAGCTACAGTGAAACAACAGTCATACATTTACAGCACCTAGCTTGGATATGTCTCCTGCAAACCCTCTCTGCTCCTGCCCTGCTTGCACATCCAGAGGCACCTTGCCTTCTGCTAAGTGCTGTCCCTCCCTTAAGCAAGTGCATTTAGGAAAAAGATGGGATAACCACAGCAGTGCCAACCACAGAAAGGCAAGCAGGGTGCTCACAGACACCCAAATAACCCAGGGAGGAAAACACTCTTCTAAGGTTCACCATCAGCTGTCCAGAGACACCAACGACCCGCTGGTAGTTACGAGATGGAAACAAATCCTCATATTGCTTACGTGGTTTGTGCTATTAAAAACAAAGAATCCTTACAGTGACTTTGCTGTTTCTACGTGAAGTGCCCTTTATTCCAGGTACAGGCAGGGAATAATTTGGAGGCAAAAAATGAGACCCTGTAGCCATACCAGAGGATTTCAGCCCTGCCAGGCGTATTTTCCCTTCATTCCCTCTATCCTTCCCCTGAGGAAAACAGCAAAACAAACCGACAGGCATCAATAAAATAAAAGCAGCAGAACACCCCACTGCTGGCAGCCAGCACGCGCTCCCGTTCGGCTGCAGGGCTCCTCTGGCTACAACTGCTTCTTTCATTAACTACATATCCTTGAAAATAATGTAACATTTACTCACTTTCAATGAGTCAAAGCAGGCGATTACACGTCCGTTCTCAACTTGGCAGCTTTTCGATGGGTGTGCAAATTTACATTCCGTGTCTGGTCTCGAGCAAGTCCCCCTTTGGAACTCCCTACACACTTCCAGCGTTAGCCATTTTGTGTCCCGGATCGGCGTGACACTAACAGCCATCTTTAGATTTTACAGGTAGTTAAAATTTCCAATAAAAACGAGGAGCTGAACTGATAAACTGGAAATGACGAAAGTGCCACCTCCAGAACACAGTTTTCCCCCGCTCCCTATGTTAAAATAAGTACGTGTAAAACCGGGTGGCTGCAATCCCGAGGAGGAGCTGTGTCACCAGAGTTCGGGGAGCGAGCCCGCTCGTGGGCCGGGCAGGCCGGGACTGCCAGCCAGGTGCGCCTCCGGGAGCGTGGCCGGGACGAGCCCCGCGCTCAGCAGCCCATCCTGAGTGCGGGCGTGGGGCCGCGGCGGCTCTGGCAGCGCTTCCCGAGGGCTCCCGGGCCGGCGGCTGGCAGGTGCCTCCAGGCAGCGATGGCAGCGGGCTCTGCGGTGCGATCGGGATCGATTAGTTTGGCATAGACAGATGCAGCAGTTTAGAGCAACGACCGACACTGGCTTTGGGCTGGGGTTTTTCTCCTCCTCTCCGCGGCTGTCGGGCGGCAGAGCTCTGACCTTCGGGGCACACTTT